AAAATGTATATTTATATAAGATATAGATTTATAAAATCCAAGTGTGTAGCAGAATACAGTCAGGACAACTTCTGAAATATGCTTTCAGGTACTTCAACCTCGAGCCTCAATGGCGTTAGACCATTGTTACCAAGTTCCTAGTCCTGCTAGTATTGCCCCTCCCCGCAGTTGTCCGGAAATCTTGGGCGAAGGCTGTTAGCTCTGGTCCTGTCTGTGGCGAGGTAGCAGTCAGCTCTGTCTTGTGTCCAGTCTCTCTGTCCTCTGCTTTAGCTGCTGCTGTGGTCGTGGAGGATGAGTTTCATTCTATCCCCTCTTCTTCCCTGGTGGGGAAGATTTTTCCTCAGCTGCTGCTGGATTGCTCAGTTTAATGGAGAGACTAGACAATCCACTTGTGGATTGGCCAATATACCATATTCACATATTTCTATCCATCTACATGACAGAGTCAAACAATGGCTAGGAAATTCATTTGGAAAGATAAACTCCACAAATACCTGTGCTTTGTCATCTTGTGATACGCTTTGACATCTTCTGTTCATCTCCTTTTACTTTCATGTCTTCCCTTTGTTTTGACCTCTTTACATTCTAGTGCAATTTTCAGAGTTGCTTCTGACACCCATTTGGTCTGTCTTTCTTCCCTCTCCTTGTAATGACCATTTGGTTTTCTCATGGATAATATCTTGGATGTCATCTCTTGGCTCATCTGGTCTGCTGTCTTTAGTGTGCAGTGCACAAGGTCTGTTCTTGAGATGATTTTTAAATTCAGTTATGGTAGACTCAAGTACATATTTTGGTTCTCATGGACCAGTTTTAATTTTCTGCAACTTCATTTTAAACTTGTCCATGAGTGATTCACGGTCTGTGTCACAGTTAGCCCCTTGCCTTGTTTTGGCTACTGCTGCTGAGTTTCTCATCCACTCCTTCCACAGATTAAATCAGTCTGATTAATATGTAGTCCTTCAGAGAAGGTCCATTTGTATAGTTGACATTTGTGGTTTTTTTTAAGCTATTTGCAATTAATAAATCATTGAATGTACAAAATTCTGGCATGTGTTCTTCATCCTTATTTCTGCTACCAAGTCTATATTTTCAAGTTCCTCTTCTTTGTTTCCAACTTTTGCATTGCCATCACAAGTTATTATTAATGGTTCTTGGCAGCATGCTTGATCAATTTCAAACTGCAAAAGTTGGTGGTGGTTGTTGTTAGGTGCCATGGAGTTGAGTACAGCTCATAGTGACCCCATGAAAAAAACCCTGCTCTATCCTGGGCCATCCTCACACTTACTGACATACAAGAGCCCATTGTGGCAGTCACCATATCAGTCCTTCTGGTTGAGGGTCTTCCTCTCCTTCGCTGACCCTTCCCAATATCATGTCCTTCTCCAAGGAATAGCCCCTCCTAACAACATGTTTAAAGTATATGAGGTAAAGCCTCCTCATTCTTGCCTCTAAAGAGCACTCCAGCTGAACCGTCTCTAAGACCTATCATTTTGTTCTCTTCGCTGTCCATGGGATGTTCAATGCTCTTCTCCAACACCACAGCTCAAAGGCATCAATTCTTTTTCTAACATTCTTATTCATAGCAAATAATCAGAAAGAATGGGCCTGAATCAGACACACCTTAGTCCTCGAAATGGCATCATTACTCCTCAAAAAATTTGTAGAGATCCCTAACTGCAGATTTTCCCAGTGCATTGTGTCTTCTTATTTCCTGACTGCTGGTAACAAGGGTGTTAATTGTGGATCCAAACAAGATGAAGCTGTTGACAATTTCAATGTCCTCTCTATTAATCCAGATGTTGCCTATTGGCCCAGTGGTAAGAATCTTTGTTTTCTTGACTTTGCGATGCAATCCATACCTAAGGCTTCATTCCTTGATTTTCTACAACAAGTGCTTCAAGTTCTACTCACTTTCAGCAAGCAAGGTTGTGTCATCTGCATAACACAGGTTATAAATGAGTTTCTCTCCAATCCTGATGCCACACTCCTTTTCATCGTGTCCAACCTGGATAATTTGCTCAGTGTACATATTTAATAGGCATGGAGAGAGAATACAACCTTGACACACTCTCTCTTCAATTTTAAACCATGCAGTGTTCCTCTGCTCTGTTTGCACAACAGCCTCCTAACAGTTAACAAGTGTTAATTGCGTTTGGTACAGCCCTTGTCTGTCAGTTACCTGTGCTGAGAAAAGTTGGGGTTGCTGTGATCCTGAAAGCTGTGCAAAAGTTGGTAGATAACTTCAAAGTCTCAGCCCTCAATTTCTTAGCCTAGCAGCACGCTATGATGGAGGAGTAGACAGAAGACAGACAGTTCAGGTCTCCTGACCAGAAAACAGGGACTGCAGACAGGGTGGCTAATTCTTCAGTTCACAGTTTTAAAAGAAAAAAAAAAAGCAAAGGGGGAAGTACTTCAAACACTGACTAAAAGAAGAGGAAAATTATGAAACACAGAACCATAAAAAGCAGAGCATGGCCATGTTGAACAGCCGTCCATGTGGTGTGACAACTCTAGAGGATGGTGGCAGCAGTGGGATCCGGACTAACCAGGCTTGATAGCCTCCCTTGTTCCCTGCCCCCTCCCTACCATTTCTCACCAGATGGTGGGCAGTGTTTCCTGTCCCAACCCCTCAAGACCCAACACTGCCTTGTAAAAGTGCTACTGTGGAGATATGAACCGCGTGACAAGGAACCCTGGAAGATAGATGCCTACGCTTATCAGTCGGGAGGACAAGAATGCATCCTTCTTGACAGAAATAGTGTTTGAACCAAAAGCCCAAGGCTGAACTGGAATTGACTAAATGAGAACGTGAAGTATATTCCATTCAGAAAGATGAGTAAAATTAGTTTGCTTGTACCGGTGTGCATAAGTTAACATCTAGAGTATATTTCGTGAATAAGATGTTACCTGATTTGAATGTTTGTGAACATCGTATAGTATTTGTATATATTCAATAAAAACGTATCAGCTTAACACCCTTATAGTATCCAGAGCCGTCAGGGTTTCAAACTTGTGATTGTCTGCTTCTTGGCATTTGGTCCTTCCGAGAAACCCAGGGGGAGACTGGTTAGAGTTGGAAGCCCCACAGGATAGAGCAGGAACAGCAAGAGCCCAGCTATTTCCTCTGGAAAACTCTCCCATGGTCAAGTTTAGCAAGAAGTGTCATCAGCAGAACTGGGACAGTTGCCAGAGATGAACCTGGGCTGTTGCTGTGCCACAGAGTCAACTGAGCTCTGGCTCCTGGGGCCCTTTGAACAGGCAAGCCCCTCCCTGCTTCACAGAGGTATACACTTAGCCACACGCTCCCCAAGAGGATGCTACCTGGCACATACCAGCATTGTGGAGTGTATGAGAGAGAAGAGAGGACGTATCATCATTAAAGGGTTTGGCTTCCAAGCTGAACAATTTTAAACTATTGGGAGAGGAGAGATTAGTAGGTTTGAACAGCCATTTAATAATTAGATTTGTGTCCTGAGGAGAGTATTCTGGTAATATGGAGAATAGATAGACAAATGGACAGCTCTGAATTGGCTATTCTGATATGTGAGGCTAAGAAAATAATATGACAAGCTGAACTCTGAAGAAGAATTGGACTGCAGGAAGGTTTAGTAACAATAATAAATTATGCAGATGATGCAATTTTGCTTGTGGAAAGTTAATAAGATTTAAAGCACTCACTGAAGGGGATGAAAGACTATATGTAACCTTTGGTATGGATCACACCCCAATATCAAGAAAGCAAAAATCCCTGTAGTTGGTCAAATAGGTAATATGATAAATGGAGAAAAGATTGAAGTTGTTTGAGAACTATCAGAAATACAAGCTGGGTTTAGAAGAGGTCATGGCATTAGAGACATTATTGCCAATGCGAGATTGATCTTGGCAGAAAGCACAGATTACCAGAGGAATGTCTGTGTATGATTCATTGGCTGTGCAAAGGCATTTGACTGTGTGGATCACGACAAATTGTGGCTAACCTTGAGGAGAATGGGAATCTCAGAACACTTAATTGCTCGTGCGAAACCTATGCTTGGACCAGGAAGCAGCCCTCAGAAAAGAGTAAAGAAACACTGCATGGTTCAAAATCAGGAAAGGAGTGCATCAGGGATGCGTTTTGTCACCAAACCTTTTCAATCTATATGCAGAACAGACTAGTCCTCCAATCCTGATGCCACATTTCTCTTCATAAAGCCCAGCCTCTTCAATGATCATCATTGGACTTGTTTTAGTCAGACTTCTTTTTTTGTTTCTTTTAGGCAACCTCTCGACTTCTGGTAAATTACCAAGAGCCCTATCGTTCTCAAATACTGGATTATCTCTTTAAGGTAATAATTCAAGAACAAAAATCATTGAGAAATAATTGTGATGCATTAGTAATTGTTTGAAGGATTCCACAAGTAATATCTGCAAAAATTCTTATTAGAAGGAAAAAGGCCAAGTTATTTTTGGAAAAAGATGCTATCTGCAGTTCAGCCGTGGTTATCTCATTTGCAAAGCAAAAGGCTATTTATTTATGATAGTCTAAATGTGCTATGCTTTTCAAATGATGGAGCACAGTGTAAATACTGTTAACTTTTTTCCCTCAGCCAAACTTTGGTGCCTCTTTGCACATTCTGAAAGTAGAAATTGGTGGTGATGGACAGACCACAGGTAGGTAGATTTGAGAAGTGAGATGTTTACCTTCAACATTTTTAATCTACACCTAACTGTATATACTGACTTCAGAGTGTACATTATAAAAGTGGTGACTTTGATATTGATTGTGGTTCAGTAGATTATTCATTATGGTTCCTTTTAAAAAATAATTCCTTAAGAATTTATATCAAAATAGGAATTATCTATCAGAAGTGGCATTCTGCTTATTTTTGAGATTCCTTTTTTAATTTGAAGTAATAGCAAGCAATTCCATAGCTTAAAAACCCCTATATATACACCATAAAGCTCGTCAAACCTCATTGCTATGGAAGGGGTCCTGATTACAGTTACTCTCCATTGGAGTGTAGAGGTTGTAAATCGTTAACATGAAGACACTGCCCATCATTCTCCCATAGTATGGCTAATGGGGAGATGTGGGGCATTTGGGGTCCTGGGCCAACTCACTGAGAAAGCTCACAGCACCAGAACTCCCCTATATACACTCAAACTCAAAATCATGGCTTTTGAGTTAGAACCAACTCATTAAGGACCTCCAGTGGGTTTCCCATCTTTCTCCCTTGGGGCTGCTGATGGATTTAAACCCCTAGAAAGGCCCACCCTTTGGGTTAGCAGTACAGGTTCCTGTGGACGGGGCCACCAGCGCTCCCCTTATACACTAAACAGAGTGTGAAGATAGGTTAGAATTTTGTAGAGAAGTTAAAAACTATTCTGCTTAGGTATAAAACATGTAAAGTGTTATCAACTTCAAATGACATAAAGTGGTAAGTAACGATATAAGCAATTAATATTTCAGTGTATTTTTTTTCCTTTTAGAAACAAATTATTTTTAACCAAAATGATTTTTAATCTTCCTTGTAACCATTTTGATTGGCTTTATGTAGTGAAAAGTACATGAGGCCAATTAAAATCATCCATAAAGCCATCAATTGATAGGCTTTTGGCTTTATATAAGAAGAATTATTCTGATGCTTTTGACAGAGCTTGTTATTTATAAGTCAGTTTCTATTATAGTGAACTCTAGAGAGGATAGATCTGTATATTTGTGTTCCTGATACTAGCTTGGAGGTAATTTTTTGTTAAACAGATATAATTATTATGTAGGTATATTGCTATTTAATCTGTGTCAGAAGGGGAAGAAAAAAACCCCAAGAAGCAAGAACAAAGGAGTCTGCACATGTATTATAAACTCTCCCCAAGCTACTGCAAGAGGACATGTGCTTTATTGTCCCAGCACTTTATGCAGAATGGAAAACAACTGCCCAGCTTCATTTGCTGTAGGTAACTTAGAGTGGAGACTGTGGAGCACGCAGTTGTGGTGAATTCTGATGTTTATGTTTAAGAAGACATAGGCAGGGCTCTCCTCTGATGAGGACATAACTAGAGAGTCCACATGTTTGTGAAACTCTGAAATACATGGGAACCTTGATGCTCTTTTCCTACCCTGACACATTGAAGAGGTTCGTAGAGATTTTTTTTACTGTGGAAATGTGTGCTGAGGACTTTTTAATCCCCTCAAAAAGACATAGATTTTTGCAATCACAGGGTAATTAGGTTCAAGTTGTAGGATACAAGAATTGGCACCCAGGAGCCAGAGGATTCAGTGCCATGGTCAGGAAGCTAGAAGATGTGGTGGCATGAATTTAAAATTAGACACAGGGATTTGCAAACTCCAGAGAGAGCAAAAACCTAAGTGAAAAACTAAACCAAGCCAAACCTAGGTGAATGCAGTCCTAGGAATTTTCAATTATGTAAGATTGTAAGGTGTAAAATCACCTTGCACAAAGCAGTTTGCCTTTTCCCCCTTCTCAAGCACCAGAGACTAATGAATGGGCTGAACAGATCCGGAGGGGTGTCTGTGGGCCAGCTCCAGAAGTGGAAAAAGAATAGCAATTCTGTGTCTTGCATGCCTGTGGGGGTGGCTGGAGGGCAGGGGTGGTGACAGCCATGGGAATGGCCACTGGCAGGTATTTCCTTCCCCTTTTGCTCCCCTCCACGCAGATGGCACCGAGCCCTCCCACATGCACTACATGTTAGATGAGAATTATTTTCGAGGTTATGAGTGGTGGTTGATGAAGGAAGCTAAGAAGAGGAACCCTAACATTACACTCATAGGTAAGAAGTAAAGTTTCCGTCCTTCAGCATTCTGTTTTAATTAACTTTTAAATTCTGCGTGTCGATGGAGTAGCTGTTATTACTGAAGTATTAGTAATGTGATGCTACCAGGAGCGAAACAAGTGTGAGGCTTGAACATCATCATCCATATGGTTGTCTATGCCTCCAAGATTGCAGCCATTGAAAACCATATGGATGGTCGTCTATTTTGAGATGTGTGGAGTTGCCATGAATCAGAATCAACTCCCTGGCAACTATAAAAAAAATAGAGAAATAAAAATTATATATGTATGTGTATATGGTTGTGTGCGTGTGTGTGTGTATATATAATATATATGTTGTTGTTGTTATGTGCCATCACATCTCTTGTGACTCATAGTGATCCTATTGATCCTATGTACAACAGCCCTAAACTCTGCTCTGTCCTGTGCCTATATATATAGTAAATAACAAGGGAGTTTAGCCTCTCACCTAAAGACCAAGCCTCTCTAGGGGTTTGAATTTGCCAGTGTCCCTGTAGGAGAATGTCAGTCTCCTCCCGAGAGACTTACAGCCTCAGAAAGCCTCCACAGGGTCAGCTATGAGTCAGGTGTGACTGGATGGCAATGAACTTGAGTTTTTAACCTCACACAATTAGTTAAGCATCGGCTTTCCAGAACTCTTTGATCTAATGTCTATGATCAAGAGATTGACTATGGAGAACATATTCATGAGTGGATGAGGGAGTGGGTGAGAGGGTAGACCTTGAAATTGTGTAATGCCTGTCTTTCTATAGCTCAGTGTTTTGAGTGTTTATTATTCCTTTATCCTTTTCTTTAGAGGACATTTGGAATTCAAACGCTAAGGATCAATCAGGAATGATGGTATCTCTAGACTAGAAAGAGCTTTGAGTACTTGTAGGTGATGTGTAATCTTCCCCTTGGTCCTCAACTGTGTTGGCGTTTGGCTTAGGAGCGCTCATCTTTTATTAAAAGTTAGCTAATGCTGTTAGCCCATTCTGTCTGCCTCTTCCTTTCTCTCTCCAGGGTTGCCGTGGTCATTCCCTGGATGGTTGGGCAAAGGTTTCAACTGGCCTTACGTCAACATTCAGCTGACTGCCTATTATGTCGTGGCCTGGATTGTGGGCGCCAAGCGTTATCATAATTTGGACATTGATTATGTTGGGGTTGGTAAATATATTTAAAATACAATTGAGTTTTTGATATTCGTATGTAAGTTTTTAAGGTAACTTGATTCAGTGGCACTTTTCTGACTAGCCATTTTGCGCCATGAGACTAATGTGCTCTAATGGTGCCTAGTGACATTTGAGTCTTGCTTCCCTGCCTTACTTAGGCAGATTCTTCCCATTTTGAAATCTGTACCTAGCGGATGCTTTCTTATAACTGGTTTTCTTCCTTAGCGCACGTGTGTGTGTGTGTGTGTGTGTGTGTGTGTGTGTGTGTACGTGTGTACCTTCTCCCTCAAATCAACTCCTCCTGAGAAGTTTTTCTACTTTTTTCTAAATCTTGAGTGCTATAGAACTTAATTTTGCTTTGCAGTGTATGTATACTACTTGACTTTGCTTTATGATGAGCCATCTCAAGTATTTTCCTTAAAAGATCAGAGAGTGTTTATTTTAGATTTTTTTGGGGGTGGGGGGGTTTGTGTGTCAAGAGACAAAATTTAGGATACCACACAGGCATTCATCTATCTATTTAAAATGTAATCATTAGAAACTGTAAAAGCCATTTTGAGCTGTCAGACTGAAAAGTACAGGTGGGCTAGATTTGAACTTTAGGTTGGAATGTCCTTACCCCTGTTGTAAATTGTTATTTAATAGGTTTTGTGTTTTGTGGTTTGTTTTTATTTTTAATTCATATTCATTGTGTTTCATGTATAGACATTGTATTTTATACAGTTTTTCCATACAGTATATTTTCATTAATTTGAAATGTGAGGTTTTTAATAATTGTTGTTAGGTGCTGTTGAGTTGGTTGTGACTCGTAGTGGCTTGTACAACAGGGTGAAACCACGACCTAGTCTTGTGGCGTCTTCATAATCATGTTTGTGCTTGAACCTGTGTTCCAGTCACTATGTCAGCTCATCTCTTTGAGTGTATTCCTGTTTTTTTATCCAATTAACTCCAAGCATGAAGTCCTTCTCCAAGTACTGGTCCCTCCTGATAACATGTGCAAAAGAATGAAAACATATTCTACTCCCCAGCTGCTCTATGGGCTATGACAATGTACCCATAGTTGGGTCTTAGTAAAAGTTTGCTTATTAATATGCCATTTGTCAAAACATTTCATGTAATTGCAAGTATTACTGATTGCCTACATGTTATGGACATCATGACTATCTCTGAGATTAGTGAGGTTAGTAAGATCTTGACAGATTTAGTAAAAGAGCCTGAAATGGGCACAGATGAGCTTGGGTGAATATCACCCATGGATGGATGACAGGACCCTGGAGATAAGCTTGGGTGAATATCACCCATGATGGCAGGAAGCTGGAGAGGAGCATCTGCTTGCTTGGACTGTCCTTTTCCAAATTATAACTGACGATGAACCTGCATTTGAGAGTTTTCTTAAATGTCAGGGTAATTTTTTTTTTTTTTTTTTACCCAGAGTGAAGTTAATTTCAAGGTTTTGTGTAATAACTTTCCGTTATGGTAGCCACGTTTAGAAAATGTTTCTGCAAAATAAGGGATGATCAGTATGGCTTTTAGACTCTTGATAGTCATACATTATGGCAAGAGGCTTTAGACCAGGAACTCTTTCTTATACAACTTGAGTGGCATAATTTTTGGAATTACAGCGCTTGAACCTTGGATTTGCCTATTATTAAAAATTTTCTCAGCTTCAAATGCAAAGTCTTCATGATCTACATCTAGGAGAGTTTTTATCTATCTATTATCCTCTTTAAGCATTTGCTTTTGTGAACTAACACATCTGTATTTCTCAATGTGTTTTTAAAATAATTCTGCCTTTGTGATCCTGTACTAACTATAATTAGTATGTTGTCTTTTGGTTTTCCAGTACTTAGTGTAATGCCTTGCACACCTCAAGGGTAGGTGCTTTTGAGGTAGTTCCTGTTCCTAGCAGTCTGCGTAGAACAGAATGAAACACTGCCCAATTGTCTGCCATCTTCAATAGGCTGTATGCTGAACCCATTGTTGCAATGGCTGTGTCACACCGTCTCACTGACGATCCTCCTATTTCCTCCTTATCCTCTGTTTTACCAAGTAGGATGACCTTTTCCATTGGCTGGTCCCTCCTGATAACACGCCCAAAGTGAGATGAAGCCTCATCATCCTCATTTCTAAGAACCATTCAGGCTTAACTTCTTCCAAGACAGATTTGCTCCTCCTTCTGGTACCTGCCTTCTGTTGTTGTTATGTGCCATCGAGTTGCTTGTGACTCATAGCGACCCTATGTACAACAGCCCTAAACTCTGCTCTATCCTGTGCCAATCTCATTGTCTCCAACACACCCATCCCGATTACCCCAGTCACTGAATCAGTCACCTCATAGAGGGTCTTCTCCTCCTGTGCTGTCCCTCCACCCTCCCAAGCATGATGTTCCTCTTCAAGGATCAGTCTCTCCTTACAATATGTCCAAAGTATGTTAGAAGGAGCCTCAGAATCCTTGCTGCCAAAGAGCTGCCTGGTTTAACACTTTCCAAGATGAATCTGTTTGTTTTCTTAGCAGTCCATGCTACACTCAACACTCTTCTCCAGCACTATAGCTCAAAGGCATCAATTCTCCTTCTATTCTCCCTAGTTATTGTCCAACTCCCTGATGCATAAGTGATTGCAAAGACCATGGTCTGTATCAGATGCACCTTAGTCTCCAGAGAGACACCGGTACTTTGGAGAGGTCCCTAACAGCAGACTTTCCCATCACTATACGTTTTTTAATTTCCTGGCTACTGGTGCCGAGAGTGTTGACTGTGGAGCCAAGCAAACTAAAGCTGTGAAAAAATCTCTATCTCTTCATCATCCATCCTGATGCTGCCAATTGGTCCAGTGGTGAGAATCTTTGTCTTCTTGATATTGAGCCTCAATCTATATTGAAGGCTGCAGTCCTTGACCCTGTGCAGCAAGTGCTTCAGGTCCACTAGCACATTCAATATCCTTTGTCAACACCATGACTTAATGCATAAATTCTTCCTTATTCCTTGTGCATGTTTTACCAGTGTATGAGGCCATTGAAAAGACAAGCTCACCTTAGCCTCAAAGTGTTACCTTTGCACTTCAATACTTTAAAGAGATCTTTTGCAACAGATTTGCGCAATGCCATATCCTGATTTCTTAACTACTGCCTCTCTCCGTAGGTGTTGATTATAGCTCTGAGTAAAATTAAATCCCTGATTTCTTTAATCTTCTGTTTATTTTGCTCTTGCTTGTGAGGATTTTGTTTTCTCTCTGTTGTGATTCTGAAGGCTATAATCTCTGGTCTTGACCAAGAATTACTTCACCTCTTCTTCACTTTGAGTAACTAGGTTGTACCATTTGTGTGCTGCAAGCTGTCAGTGAGTCTTCCTTTCATCTTGCTGCTGTGCTCGTCACATAAACCATTTTCTTAGATTGATTGCTTATTGTCCACATGAATTAAGAATAGATATATGTATATATAATAGCTGTTTCATATCTCTTCTGAAATTACACCATGCATTATCTCTGTGTTTTGTTTGAACAACTGCTTCTTGGTCTATGTACAGGTTCTGCATGAGCACAGTGAAGTGTTCTAGAATTGTTGATGATTTTTATGATCCATATAATTAAATGTGTTTGCAGTGTCAATAAAACACAAGTAAACATTTTTCTGGTACCCTCATGCTGTTAGCCACGCTATGCCTGACATCAGCAGTGATAGCACTGTTTCTGTGACCTCTTCTGAATCTGGCTTGGAGTTTTGACAATTCCCTTCTGTACACCTGCAACCCTTTTAAAATGATCTTCGGCATAATTTTACTTGCACATGATGTTAATGATATTGTTTGATGATTTACACATTCCCTTGAATTACTTTCCTTGGTAGTGGACACAAGCTTCTTCCATTTGGTTTGCCAGGGGGAGGTCTTCTAGATTTCTGAGTAGAAATAAGTGTGTGCTTCCATTGTTGCATATGTGTGTTGAAACATCTCAGTTGGTATTCTGTCAATCCCTGGAACCTTGCTTTTGGTCAGTACTATTAGTGCAACTTGGACATCTTCCCTCTGTATATTTGGTTCTTGATTATTTGCTCCTTCCTTAAATAGTTGAACTTTGACTAATTCTTTTTTGTACAGTGACTCTCTGTACATTCCAGTTTCTTTTGATATTTTTGTTATTCAACATAGCGACCCTATAAACAAAACACCCGAACCCTGTTCTGTAACAATTGCCATTTCTCTTAGAGTTTCCAGAGGCATGTTGTTTAGGAAGTTGATGCCACTCCTGCTTCCAAACCTATCTTAACACTGTCCATGATGGGTAACCATTATGGCAATTGACACACAAGTGGCATAATGTTCAGCATCACAGTAACCCCAAGTTACCTCAGTACAACACATTGACAGAGCAGTGCTGTACCATGTAGAAGAATGTTAGTCCCAAACACAATTAATACCACCTGATTTTAAATACCAAGGCCCACTACCAGATCTTGTTGATTCTAAACAAGAGGCTTCCCACCCACAGCTCATTGTCAGCTAAATCCAGAAAATCCAATCAGCTCACACACAATTGTGAACAAAACAAAAAAGAAACCAAACAGATCACACCCAACCCTCAACCAACACAAAACATACCACCTTCCAGAATCAACAAAGCCTTTGTCAATATTTCTGATTGGGGCTTTAATTTTTTTTTTCTTTAGTTTTTTCTTCAGTGTGACAACTCTGAACATGTTCTTTACTTTTGGTTTTCTAATTCTAGATTGTACAACATTTCATGATAATATTTTGTCTTCTTGAGCTGCCTGTTTTAATCTTTTGTTCAGTTCTTGTACTTTACTATTTATTACTTTTTTATGTGCCATTGAGTCACTTGCAACTCATAGTGACCCAGTATGACAGTTCTGAACCATGCCCTATCCTGTGCCAACCTTACTGTCTCTGACACACCTACCCGCATTACCCCAGTCATTGAATCAATCCATCTCATCAAGGGCCTTCCTCTCTTGTTTTAGGTGTATGGAATTTTTAAGAGCAACTTTGAGAGTCTCTTCTGATGTCCTTGTTGATCTTTTCTTTCTTGCCTGTCTTTTTAATGGTCATTATTTTCTCCATATATAATATCTTTGACATCATTCCAGAACTCATCTAATCTTTGGTTATTAATATTCAGTGTGCCAAATCTTTTCTTGAGATGTTCTTTAAATGCAGATGAGATATACTCAAGGTTGCACTTTGGCCTATGTGGACTTGTTTTCATTTTCTTTAGCATTACCTTGAACTCGCATGGGTGCAATTAATGTTTTCAGGGCCTTTTATATAGTTGGCCCCTGGCTTTATTCTGACTGATGATTTTGGGCCTCTCTGCCATTTCTTTCCACGGATGTAGTCAATTTTATTCATCTTTGGTGAAGTCCATGTGTATGATTGCAGTTTATGCTGTTGGAACAGGTGTTTGCAGTGAGTAAGATGTTGGCCTTGAAAAATTCTATCGTGCATTCTCAAGTAGTGCTTCAATCAGCATGGCTATTACTTTTAAACTTTCACATTTCAATTACTGGTAGTGACAAAATGAGTAAATCTGAATAATTGTCATATTAACTGGTAGGCATGTAACTATTATGCTACCATTGACAGCATTTAATTTCAAGATATATCTTGAAGCATTATTTTTGACAAGGATGTGACACTCTTCTTCCACTACAACTCAAAGATACTCTCTGGTCAACAGATCAAACCTACACCCAGTTCTGTGCCATCCTCACAATCTCTGTCATGCTTGAGCCCATTGTTACAGTCACTGGGTTAGTCTGTCTTGTTGAGGGTCTTCTATTCTTTCTTTGACCTTCCACTCTACCATCATGATGTCTTTTCAAAGGACTAACCCCTCTTGACAGTATGCTCAAAATATGTGAGACAATGAATCACCATCCTTGCTTCCAAACAGCAACCTGGCTGCACTTTCTCCAAGACTTGTTTTCTCTTGTGGTAGTCCATGGGATATTCAGTCTTCTTCTCCAACACTACAACTCAAAGGCGTTGATTCTTCAGTCATCCTTATTCATTGTTCCACTTTCAGATGCATAGGAAGGAATTGAAATGACCATAGCTTGGATTAGGCTCACCCTAGTTTTTAGACTGACATCCTTGCTCTTTAGCACTTAAAAGAAGTCTCTGACAGCAGGTTTTCCCCATTGCAACATGTCTGTTGATTTCTTGACTGCTGCTACCACAGCATAGTAGACCTTATTATTGTCTGATTTAAAATTGTCAATACCAGTCTGTTTCTGCTCCCTAATACATGGTAATGACAGTCACGAAATCAAAAGGCATATTGCATTGGGAAAAATCTGCTGTCAGGGACCTCTCCAAAGTGCTAAAGAGCAAGGATGTCAGTTTAAAGACTAAGAAATGCCTGCTATTTTCAATTACTTCCTATGCATTTGAAAGTTGGACAATGAATAAGGATGTCTGAAGTAGCATCAAGGACTTTGAGTTGTAGTGCAGGAGAAGAGTACTGAATTTCCCATGGCCTCCCAACAGAACAAATCTGCCCTGGGTTGGTTGCTAAGGAGCAACCAGGGTGCTCCATAGAGGCAAGGATGATGAAACTTCATCTCACATACCTTTGAGCCTGCCGTCAGAAAGGGTCAGTCCTTCGAAAAAGACATCTTGATGGGAAAATGTGGAGGGTCTGAGAAAGAGCAAAAGACCAACAAGATCGACTCACCCAGTGACTATAACAATGGGGTAAAGCTTGTCAGAGACCATGAAGACGGCACAGGATAGGGTATGGGTTTGATCTGCTCACCAGAGGAGATCTATGAGTTCTAGTGGGTTTGATGGCACCAATCAATAACTATGCCACGAATTATAAATTGAAGAGGAACAGTGTCACATTCTTGTCAAAAAGAGCATTTCAAGATACATCTTGAGAATAAAGGCTGTAAGTGGTAGCTTAATATCTACGTGGCTGCAAGGATGACCAATTAATATGACCATTATTCAGATTTACTTATCAGTCACTAATGTTGAAGATGAAGAATTTGAAAAGTGTCATTAACTTATGCAGTCTCTGACTGCATCTTTTCTCTGGCTCTCCACCTGTAGAGTCTGATGGGAAAAGACATCCTGGGAAAGGTGGAAAGTCAGAGAAAGAAAAAGAAGACCCCCAAAAGATAGATCGACACAGTGGCTCTAACAAAGGGTTTGAGCATATCAGAGATCCTGAGGATGGGTCAGGCTAGCACAGGGTCCAGAGCTCTGTTCACGTTGTTGTTGATGTTAGTTGCCATCACGTCTCATAGCAGCACTATAAACAAATCTGAAACCAGTCCTGTCCTGCACCATCCTCACATTTGCTGACACACAAGAGCCCATTGTAGCAGTCACCATGTCAGTCCACCTGGTTGAGGGTCTTCCTCTCCTTCACCGACCCTCCACCCTTCCCAACATCATGTCCTTCTTCAAGGAATAGCACCTGTTGTCCCTAGGGTTCCTAAAAGTTGTAGGCTACTCCATCGCAACTAATAACAACAGTAAAGCTTAGGATAATGATTTTCGAGCGTTCCATTTAATTTTTGACAACTTGCAATTTTCTTTGATGTATACTTTGTGTATTTCACATCCCAGTTATCAATGACTGTTTATATTTATATGTAAATAGCTGTTTCTTCTCCTTTTGAGTCATGCCGTTGATCAGCACCTGAAGGTCCTGGAAGCTTTACTCCATTTTCATTACGGTAGAAGCTCTATGGAGGGGACAACTCTTCTCCATTGCATTGTGAGAGCCTTCTGTCTCGGGGGTTCATTATCCAGTTCTCTTTCATGTGTTTCCCTTCTAGCTATAAGATTTAGAAATAGATCATTAAGTCCTTCTTTCTGATCTGTCTTAGTGTAGAAACTGGTGAAACCCATTATCCACCATAGGTGGCCCTAATGGGATTTGATGTACATGGCAAGTTACACTAATTACATTGTAGTTGTCGAATGAGTGCATGAATATTCGATGGTCTTGTAAATATTTGTAACTAATTACTTTTTTGCAAGTGCATCTGCTACACATTTTAAGATTAAGAATATTTTCATTTACATGAATTATTTTAGGTTATAAATTCTATGATCATTTTATAAAGTAGGAAAATTGATATTTTAGACAATATGAATTGTGAGTCAAGAAGTGTTAACAAGAGTCTCTGCTTTCTAATATTAAAACTTTGAATTTTTAACTGCTTGACTTTTGTAGATTTGGAATGAGAGAACATTTGACATTGATTATATCAAGGTCAGTATAACTTTAGGATCTTTTTATCTTTAAATTATTAGTGGGAATTCCTTTATAGAATGTAACTTATTTTTTTTTCTGTTTGCATTGCATTTATGGTTTATTATTCTGATTTTCAGTTTATTCCTATGGTTTTTAAATTGTAGCTGGAGAATCTCAATTAAGTTCTGAGAGTGGTTGCGGGAAATGTACATATGAGACTTGTGTACTCTGTCGAGTCAGAACCACCAACGGGGTTGGGTTTTAAAAATAGTTTTAGATAGATATCTTTGTTTTAATTCTACAGATAGAAATGTGTTTGTGACTTTTCTTATTTATTGTTTACCTTTCTGGAAGATGCTAAGAAAGATGCTGAACCATCAAGGTCTCGAGCAAGTGAAAATCATAGCCAGTGATAATCTCTGGGAACCCATTTCTGCTTTAATGCTCAAGGACGCTGACCTCTTGAATGTGGTTGATGTTATAGGGTAAGGAATGTTTTTACTTTGAAAACTAGTTATTTCAGATTCTTACTCTGTGTATCCAGTATATCTTTATTTTTTGTCTTCTCTCCATGTTTGATTGTATTTTGAGAAGGTATCTTTTTTGTATTTACTTAGCTAAACCATGTATAGCTGAATACTCATTTCCTTTCTCTTTGAAATGGATGCGTTTTGGAACCTTGCTATGACAATGACATGCATTTGTAACTTTTAAAATCTTATGTATATCTTGGGAATCTACTAAAAGAGAACTTTATAAGATAAAGGGGCAGAATAGGTTTTGCTTTTAGATATGATAATGGCAACGTTTTGAAATAAGTTCCTGTCTTCCAGGCTGTGGCTAGCAGCTCTCACCATGAAGAACTTAGGTAAATTGCATGATATTACAAAATTCAGGAGTCTCTGAGACTATTTCACTTCTGAAATTACAATTATAGTTTTGAGGGCCCCCAGGATCATCATGAAACTTGAACAGATGTAAGATATTTATGTCTTTATACTTAAAAGATAAGTACAGATTTAACTGTATCTTCATGAAAAAATTGGGTGTTCAATTCAGTTTTATTTTTTTATGTTGTTACTTAATCCAGTGAGTTTTCTTCTGAGCAATGCTTTTAGTTTGATCTCAGTCTTTGTAATTATGCTTTCCTAGTAATTGATCTGATAGATATTATACTACCTTTTGGTCCAATAAATGCTTTCCACTTTCCAAGCTGAAGGATTCTTCAGTTTTTGATTGTTTAATTAATATTTACCTCAATAGAATTGTGGTCCTTTAACATTGAATGTATCATTTAACTTTTTTTAAATGTTTTGTCATTTACTATATCAAAGTATTTCCTCATCAGGATTCAGAATTGAGTGCATGCTATTTACATTATTGACTATATTGTTTGGATTTCTGTATCCTAATTATTTTGTGCATTTGAACTCTCTAGGGATACCAGCAGTGTTCATTTCCTTTTATTAGTATGTACCTAGGCAGTCCTGGGAGCACAGTGGTTAAGTGCTTAACTGCTAAGCAAAATATCTGGTTCTACCCCACCAGCAGAAAAATGAAGTTGTCTGCTTCTTTAAAGATTTACAGCTGTAAAAATCCTTGCTTCTCCAAGGACTAGTCTCTCCTAGTAACATGCACAAAGTATATGAGACCGAGCATTCAAATCCTTGCCTCCAAGGAGCAAACTAGTTTCACCCTCTCCAGGACAGACCTATTTGTTCTTTTGGCACTCCATGGTATATTCAATACTCTGCTCCAGCGCCACAACTCTAAGCCACTGATATTCTGTCATCCTTAGGTATTGTCCAGTTCTCTGATACATACCAAGTAACTGAAAAAGCTATGACCTGGATCAGGTGCTCCTTAGTCTCTAGATTGACATCATTGCTCTTCAGCAATCTGGAGAGGTCCCTGACACTAGATTTTCCTGACACAGTTTGTCTTTTGATTTCCTGAGTGCTGGTGCCAAGATTATTGATTGTGGAACCAGGAAGCTGAAATTGTTAACAATCTCAATCTCTTCTATCATGATGCTGCCAATTGGCCCAGTGGTTTTCTTGATATTGAGCTTCAGTCTGTGTTGCAAACTGCAGTCTTTGACCTTCTGCAGCAGATGCTTCAGGTCCTCCTCAGTTTTGGAAGGCACGGTTGTGTCATCTGCATAACGCAGGTGGTTGATGAGTCTTCCTCCAATCCTGATGCCACACTCTTCATCAAGTCTAGTTTCCCAAATGATCTGTTCTGCATATAGGCTGACAAGATATGGAGAAAGAACACAACCTTGATGCACTCCTTTTCTTGATTTTCAACAGAATTCCCTTGCTCAGTTCTAATAACTGCTCTCTGGTCTAAGTACAGGTTTTGCGTGAGCATAATACAATGTTCTGAGATTATGATTCAATGTTAGCCACAGTTTATTGTGATTCACACAGTCAAATGTTTTTGCATAGTCAATGAAACACAAATAGACATTCCTTTGGTCCTCTCTGCTTTTAGCCAGGATCCATCTGACATTGGCAATGATGTCCCTAGTGCCACAGCCTTTTCTAAATACAGCTTGTAATTCTAGTAGTTCTCTGTCAATGTACTATCCCAGTCATTTTTGCATAATTTTCACCAGAATTTTACTTGTGTGTGATATTATTTGATAGTTTCCACACTCTGTCAGGTCACTTTTTTTTTTTAATGGCTAAAAAAAACAGACCTCTTCCAGTCAATTGGCCAGGTAGTTGTCCTCCAGATTTCTTTGCACAACCTTGTGAACACATCCAGGGAAGAATCATTGCATTGAAATATGTCAATTAGTATTCCATCAATTCATGGGCCTTGTTTTTTGCTAATTCCTTCAGAGGTGCGATAACTTCCTCCTTCATCACCATTGCCTCTTTATCACATACTGTTTCATGAAATTCTTCCATGTCACCCAGTTCTTTTTGGTGCAGTGAGTCTTCTATCTTCTTCTGATGCTTCCCGGATCATTTACTATTCTGTCCATAGAGTCTTTAAGTATTGTATCTCAAGGCTTGAATTTTTCAGTTACTTCACCTTGATAACTGCTGAGAAAGTGCATCCCTTTTAATTTACTGACTCTGTCTCCTTTGCTCATTTTATTATAATACTTGGCTTTGTTGTCTTCCAGAGATGCCCTTTGAATCTTTTTGTACAGCTCCTTAACTTCCTGATTTCTTTCCTTTGCTTTGGCTCCTCAGTATTCTAGTGCAATTTTGAGAGTCTCTTTTGACATCCATCTCCATCTTTTCTTCCTCCTCTGTCTGTATTGACCTTTTGCATTCTTCATGGATGATATTCTTTCAATGAAATATCAGCTGTGAAAATGAAGTCAGATACTAATTGTGGAACTGACCATCAGCTACTCATATACAAGTTTAAGCTGCAGCTAAAGAAAATGAAAACAAATCCAAAAGAACCAAAATTTGATCTTCGGTTTATTCGGTGGAATTATATATGTATGTATATATATATATATAATCTTAAGAACAGTTTGGGGTCTTGAACACTAATGAACGAAGATGAGCTGAGATGTAGGAGAGTATCAAGAATATTCATGAAGAATGCCAAAGGTAGTTTCTCCTGCTGTTGTTGTTAAGTGCCATCGAGTCATAGATGACGCATAGCGACCCTATGAATGAAAGACCTAAACACTTATATAACTTTCATCGTTTCTCCAAATTCATAGGGTTTCCAGAGACAAACTATTTTGGAAGTGGATGCCACTCCTGCTTCCAAGCTTGTTTTAATTAGGGAGCTCCACCATCACATTTGACATATCAGTGTCACAGTGTTCAGCATCTCAGCAACCACGAGTTATTTCTGTACAGCAAATGG